GCTCACCGTCAATTAGCGTTTATTTATGTGGCCGAATGTTTTCTTGCCCATCAAAGCCAATGTATTTTCGATAATGTTTCTCAGTAAACGGCAGTATTTCATTTTCAAAGTTACTGCTATCCATTTCTGTTCGCAACATCAACAATTCGTTGCAATCAACTCAACTTAATGCGTTGATAATATTGTTTGGAATCTTCATTCAGTGTAGTGTTTAGTTTCAATATCATCTTTTGTTTCAACAGTTATTATTAGTTAATTGCAAACGACTTTTTGGTTTCAACAGCTGTCGAAAAACCGGAAATTGTCGTTTGGTTATTCGAATGCCTGCATTATCAGATTCAACAACGATGGTTTTTGTGATGATTCGAGAACCGTTATTATATAATTGAATTTATGCATAAACGATTGCAAACATATGCATAGTCACATAATGAACTATGTAAATACGCAAAAAACGTGTTAGTCACATTAAAATGGTTCGTTTCAAACGTGTTGTCGGATCACATGAATGTTTTGTTTTTGATGAATACATCGAAAGACGATCTGATCTGCCCGTAACCCTGCACAAGCCACGAGTCTAGCCAATTAACCAGCAACCACCAAAACAACGTCGAAAGTGGATTGTCTACGAATTATTTCGCCTCTAAATGCATCGTCACTAATGAACAGTTGCATACCTTAAANATGAACAGTTGCATACCTTAAACTGGTTTTTGAGATATACGATAACAGCAACAACTTCTTGGTCGTCGTCGTCGTCATATTCTTGAATGATGCAAAACAACAACAAAAACAACGAAATGATCTCATCGAATCGATTCCTTCGTTAATACATTACAGGTTTTTTTGGTGTAGAATAAGGGAAAATGGGAGTGAAGCTGAGCTAAGCGGTTTGCATATATAAGTGAAGATATTCATTAGAATTCAAATAGTACAGCAAGAGAAACGTTCTAACGATGCATGAGGCTAAGTGTGTTGTATTGGTTGCTTCAGTTTGCAGTGCGACGGCATTAATTGCATGCCTTTTGGTGGTACCATCGCTCTACAATGTCATCAATGAAGTTCACAATGAAGTGCTCGATGGCGTTCAGGTTGGTAGGATTAATTGGAATTTTTTGAGACTTTTTAAAGGGTTTCTTGCCTAGGGTCAATTTGATGGATTTGTAAAGGTATTGGATCAGTCTTCGACAAAAACTCATAATTGAATTTCGTTTTTTAAGAATGAAATGCGAAACGTATACTCTCTTTCGACTCCTTTTTCTCGATGAGTTGCATCGATTTTTGTTAGCGAAGTAGGACGTTTTCACAAAAACAACTGGTATTATATGTTGAAAATGGTTTCATTCAAANGACCGCAGTGTTTTGTTTGCAGGTGTTCCGTATCGAAACTGATTCTGCTTGGACCGAAATGTTGTCCCTTCAAGTCACAGTCACTCCACCAAGCAAACCACGAGTGAATCCTTTCAACAGCATCTTCCGTTCGAAACGTCAAAACTTCGCTGGTCTTCCATCGTTCTGCCAATGTCAACCCACCAAACCTACCTGCCCACCCGGTCCAGCAGGCCCACCAGGACCACCAGGAGAGGATGGAAGTGAGTATTTTATTCAATATTTAGTAAATTATCTCAAAATGGACTGAAGACCATTTTTGAGTGAGAGATTTATGATGAATAAATGTTTTGCATTGCACAGCATTTCGCTTAGCTGTTAAAATAAACACGATCGGAAATTTGAAAAAAATTTGATTTTATCAAATATGTATATGGGAAAATGAAAATATCTTATAAATATTGAAAGCAGTCAATATTTATACGGAGAGAATTCAGGGAAGATCATTGCTCTCCATTGTTGCATTTGATCATCAGTTTAAAAGATATTGAATTTAAAAGACTTTGAATTGATTGTATTGAATTTTGCAGCACCCGGACAAGCTGGTCTTGCTGGACAAGACAACAGTGAAGTGCAACAAGCTTCAACTTGTGCTCCTGCAGATACTTCATGCATCAAGTGCCCAGCTGGAGCACCCGGCCCAGCTGGCCCAGCAGGACCAGCTGGTCCAGCCGGTCCCGACGGACAACCTGGAGCACCCGGTAATGCTGGTGGCAATGGGCCTCCAGGACCTGCAGGACCCGCTGGTGATGCTGGAGCAGCCGGAGCAGCCGGAGCTGCCGGACCAGCTGGAGCACCAGGAAAAGATGGTGAGAAAGGAAAAGGAAAACCAGGAGCGAAAGGTCCAGCTGGACAAGCTGGCCCAGCCGGCAAAGCTGGCGCCAATGGACAGAAGGGAGCTGATGGCAAGCCTGGACCAGATGGACCAGCGGGAGCCGCAGGAGCACCAGGAAATGCAGCAGCCGATGGTACCCCAGGTGGTCCAGGTGGTCCAGGTCTTCCTGGCAACGATGCAGCTTACTGTCCTTGCCCACCACGTACCGCATTCTACGCCAGTCGCAGACGCATTTAAAACGCTTCTTCTTGCGTTACGAAGCACCCTTCCTGCTCTCAATGATTCTAAATTTCTACTCTGATGTTAACAAATCCCCCTCTAAAAACTACAACTCATGAATCTCTTGTTGTAACAACGTTAAATAAATGTTCTTTACAAAAATGTATGATACCTTTTACATTGAAATTTTCATTGCTGAAACGAATGCCATCGAAAGCAAAATGCATTCAAAAAAGAACACAACATCACATCTCCATCGCAGCTATGCTCAATTCGATAAACTAACTCTATTGGTCAACTCGATTGCACTCTTCAAATAACTACAAGTGTTTGAAGAGTAGCATCGGAATATTTGTACAAACTAACTAATGTAAGATATCTCAACGAGTTTTTGTGTGAATGTGAACGACAACAGTTGAAATGGTCATTTCCATATTATGTTTTGAGTGAACATTGAATGAGGGACAAGGGACTTCTTTTATGCATTAAGAGTTCTCATTGTATCCTTTACTATCGTTCAACGAACACAACATGTTGTTTCGTGACCAAAAACACAACGGCAATGACTTAAAGAACTGTAAAGTAAATCGAAAAAGTTTTATTCAAAGTGTTCGATCTTCTTCCTTCCTAAAAGTCAGCAAAATTACTCAACAATCTCAGTTCAATCATCTCAGCGTCTTGAAATGGCCTTACAAGCAACACTGTCGATTCTGACATTTCTGCAGTGTATTTCGTTATCAGTTCAGGTAAGCAAGTCTATTCTGGATTCTGTATATTTTACGCCCTCTGATGCTCAGTGATTATAAATTTTGAAAGTGACTGCTCGCAGGATAGAAAAATAGAGAATTCGATGCAACAACTTCAGTCATATTTATTCACTGAAACACAAGCAAGAAATAGCGCTTGTTTCGTCGGCTTTCTATTGCCGATTGCTTCAGCAAAACGTCAGATTGCTCAATTTCGGATGAATTCGAATTAGATACTTGCAAGGGTTGGGAAATGGTTCTAGCTGAAGGGTGAGCTGAAGTGGTTAAGATTTCATGGAAAAGTGATGATATTTGCTCGTTTATTTAAGGCAATCGTGATCAAATTTTCAGTGTGCACCATTCTTTTGCACTTATGCTATGGGGCTATGTAATCCATTCGTACCACGACCAATGTGTCCACCGTGCTCTATGGGCTATGCTTGTTCGCCAGGCATTGGACTATGTGTTTCTAGAGCTAGGAAATTCTCAAAACTGGCTCAAGATGCTATTGACGAAGATGACATTCAAGAGGATCAAAAGGGCATTCTGGTAGATTTCACAAGTCGAATTGCTCGTATTCAATGAGTTTCTCAATCAGAATTTTTCAAAATCTTTTCAAAATCGANACCTTTCAAATGGTTGCATGTAAAGCAAAGAATAACTTCTCTTTGCGAGGATTCTCTCGCTAAAATTAGCCAAAGGAGTGATGGATCTCAATAAATCGTATCCTTACAGAGCATGTAATTGGTGACAGCGTATTTATATGCATTGCACTGAAACAACACTATTGCCACAGATTTACTATTAAAATAGCTGAATCTTTACCAACGGATAACTGAATTTTAAACTAAAATAATCTTTCAGAAAGCGAATAAAGAATTTAAGACATGCTGTGAGTTGAGTTCGATGCCTGATGGTTGCCTTGATAAATGTTCCTACAACCAATACAATCGACGATCTGTATGTTGAATTCAGTAAATTTCACAGAAAGTTTCCATTTAATAAGGACTAAGGAGATTATTTTAGTGAATTTTAGATGCTGACTTTTACAAGGTGTATCACATCAAGACTTAATTACTCTTATTAAAGGCCCATTGCAGTTCGTTTGCATTTCAGGCTCAAAAAATAGCGCTCGGAATGGAGCCGTCGTGTCCATCCGCATCACTACCAGCACTGCATGCGTGTGCTGCACGACATAGTGATCATACGAAGTGTTGCTTGGAAAAGTCGATTTTTGATGAATCTTTGTTCGAAAAATGTCAACCCATCTGCAGATCTGTGAGTTCTTCCAAACTTCTCTCGCATTCCCATCATATCAAATGCATCGTATGTCGCAAATATGAGAGATAAATGTGTTCACTATGATTTGATTATTTATTGAGTGAGCGTTCCGATGCAAAAAATTCCAAAAAAATTGGTGCCATTTGCAGAAAGTTGACAAAATCATCAAACTCGATGTCAGCTATTTACCGTGTTTCGAGCAATTCGATCGACTGGTCTCTGATTGTTTCAGAAACTACACAGCTACAGTCAGTGAAGATTTTTGAAAACTTACTCGTTTTGTTATGTTATTCATCGTTCATGAATATCAAACATCACTAACCTATAAAATGTATAAACTCTAATAAAATATTGCACGAAATTTTGTAAACTCTATTGTTTATGCGTAAATGATCAATTGTAGTGCATCAAAGTTTATTCATCAATGTTGAGAGGACGAAATTACTTAAGTAAGGCAACCATTAGTGTGTTTCTCAGAATGACTGCATTAATATAGACTTTACACACATAAATAATTTCGAATCAGCAGCATTGATATCATCAAATAGAATGCAATATTAGACGAATGCTTTGACTTATGCTGTCTACTCTTCCGAATCACCGACAAGTTTCGCTCGCATGTACTCCATATCGTAGAGCTGTAGACAGTCTGGATGCATTGCTTGAATTAACTCTGGTTTTGCCGATGAGACGACATCATTGATTTGACGCATATTCAAACGCTGAAAGTTGATCTCTTAAATGGAAATGAGTGCATGATGTGCCTAAGAAGATTTACAGATGATCGAAGAAGACCGTTCTCGGGAATCATCCAGAAACGAGTACTTCCAGTAAAATTCATTAATCATAATTAAATTATGAAATGGTTGTGAGTGAAGGAGATGAATGGCTTAAAAAACTGACGAGTAAGACATCATGCGTTCCAGGACATGCATTCGAGAATTCTTGATAATAGCAAACTGTTGAGCACTGCATTCCCCTGAATATTTTGCAGAATTTTCATCGGTTCTCATACTTTTCCACATTTTGACTCATAGTCAGTTGAAATAAATACTGCATTCAAATACATTCCATAATTGTTCGAAAATCATCGTCATCTTTGATGCAAAAGATTTCTTTCGTTTATTTGTTACGCTTTCATTAGAGGAAACGGAATGCAGCGATATGAAATTAGAATTGATTGGATGTCTTACTTGCATTTACTTTTCAATTCAACTTCTTTTCCGTGTCCCTTGTCGAATTTCGGAACGCAACGTGTTCGGCAATCTGAAATTTCAACGAAATCTTATTCATTCCTTCGTATTCCCATTATCCGTATCGCTCACTTCTGACCTTAATGCAAACAACTGAATCAATGAACAACTTACTCCTGTCGATTTCCGGTGCAGCTTCTGTGAAACATTCAAGGTGCTCTTCAAGCTCTGAAACATTGTCAAGTTATCCTCTTGAAACAATTCTTACAATTTGAGTGCAATAATTTGGGTGAGAATAAGTGAAGTCCGTCAGTGCTCATGCAAGTAAACNCTCGGAATCAACCTTCTTCGAAGTCCACACAATGCAAACGATAAAAGGTTGTGTAGTGATAGAAGGAGCGTTGATCAGGCAGATCGCACGTCCTCGAGCAGTAAGCACCTCTCTCGAGAGTGTCACATATCTAAACTCGAATCGTTATCAATTGATATACACCATGCATCAACATGTTACTGTAGCATTTCTGAATGAAACTAGTTGCGAGTGTTGAGTGATGCCTTTAAAAAACACCACTGACACATTATGGCCACCACATCAGAATCACTTTCATTCGGAAGCAACCCAAAATTGAGTTTCAGTGAGGACAACTTGAATAAGTGGCTGAAAAACTGGAGCGATGGAACGCTGATATGGTCAGCACTGTTGCGGAATATCTTACCTTATCGAAATTCCTGAATACAAACGAATAAGTACGCTCGAACCTCAGCAGTGGCTTAAGGCATCGTCGTAGACATGGACTGAAACTGCTGTCATCGAAAGCAAAAGCTGAAAAGCAAGTAAAAGCTATTGGATATATGGAATCCTCAGGTAGCAAGCAAGAAATGAATTTGATCAGTATGATCAGCTATTCGATCAATTCACAAAAAGTCGTTTTTGAGTAGCAGTATTGCTTGGGAACAACGAACATAACTTCAAAATAATTTTTTTTTCTCACAAAACTTACCGTTCGGTAGGAAAAAAATGATTAGAATTATGATTTTTGACAGCATTCTTGAAGATGACTCCACGCTGACTTCTTTGTGCCTATGACTTGAAATGGGTCAGTGGTGATGAATTTAAACAGAGAAACAATAAAACTCTTCAAGGTCATA